CTACTATACTCCACCTGCAATGGAAATGTAACCTTTGGATGCACTGGCCCTTTAATTCTGTGTCTGTTTTGCTACCAAATGTTTCACACACCCTTAATATTACAAGCCATAACCCTGGTATTTAAGACCATAAGCGGATTTGGAAGGTTTAGAACAAACATATTGCAGACTTGGCAACAGATACTGCAATAATCTGAAAAGAATTTTCAATTTACCTGCCACTGCCTTCAGAGAGCTACTTCGATGAAAACACGTACGCTCTCACGAGTGGGACCCTCTCAGGCTTCAGCTTTACATCACAATATTGTCTATACTAGGAAATTACTTACAAAAATCTGGAAAATCCCATAGCTTTATATAAAGATTCACATTTTTACATCACACTTTATTGAACTTTCACAAGAGACATTTTATTTAGTTCTATGGGCTCATGGCAGGGCAATGCGGTTGTACTCACTGCGAAATGCTTAAAAACAAAGTACTGCATGCTGGAACGCAGTCATGTGAACGGTCACCATCCATAACAAGGAATATTGCCTTGTCTTGCATTTGGGCTGCCCTGGACATTTTTACCAGATGGGCTGAACAAGCCCCAAAGAGTAAGGCTACCATTGTCAGCTTAGGTGAACACAGATGGGAATCTTCTGACTGGTTTCTACCCCCTCCTGAGCACCTTAGTCTAAATGTTTTCTTACAGGAAGAACAGAGAAATAAGTCAGGAGGCATTCCAAAATCCCTACCATCAGGCTGTCTTAAAGGGTTATGAAACCCTCAGCGGTTTTTGCATAGCAGTAGATATATGCAAAAACAAAAAAAAAAAACACTTTTAAAAAGGCTTTAAACTTACCTGCGTCTTCGCCGCACGCTGCCGTCCGAACATCTGAATAGTCTCGGGTGGCCGCAAAGGATCTTGGGGCGGGCGCAAAGGATCTTGGGGCGGGCGCATGCGCACTTCAGATGTTCGGCCGGGAGACGAGGAGAGACACAAGGTAAGTCTATGGAGCAGCGTGTATCCGCACAGACTCTGTGGGACATGAGAGAAAAGGACATCGCGACACAAAACGCCCTACGCCCAAAGAAGTACAGGAGCTTATTTGGGGCGTTTGTCACGCGTTTCCATTGGGATACAGCCAAGTAGCTCTCGGAAACACGCGTTTGTTATAGCTGGTGATATTCTGCATTGCGCTGTATAATGTACTATTGCTGGGATTTGTAGTCCTCTATAGCCGGTGCAATTCTGCATTCATTGCTGTATAATTTTACACTTTCCTTTTCACTATATTGCACACCGCACTATTTTTTTTCCACCGCTCCAAGCTTGCTCCTATGATGGACTACAATCTCAATACAAACTAGTAGTCCCATCACTGGAGCCATTTTTAATTTTTTTTTAATTGTTTATCCGATTAATCGAACTTAATAATCGGCTAACTAATCGATTTTGAAAATAATCGCTAGCTGCAGCTCTATTTGTCACGCGTTCTGTTACCGCGAATCGCGGTAAAAAGGGGGACAAACGCGCATATTCGATACGCCTAGGTGTGAACCCAGCCTTAACCTCAATTACTCTCTAAGCCAGGGCTCAAAATTTCAAGTCCTGAGCTTTTAGCCAGGCCTTAAGAGTTACATGCCACCAGTTGCCCCACCTAACCCTTACCCTGCCCCGGCCTTAACTCCACCCCTCAACACACCATCTTAAATAATCTTATGATAATTCTTATTGTATGATAGTTGCTGTAGGTGTGAATGGGGCCTAATATACACATACACTAAAGGTGCCAATACACCTGCTGATTATCGTACGATAGTCACTGGTGATCCCACGATCGTATGATAATCAGCAGATGTATAGGCAGCGTGCGACCGCTTCTACTGTAAGGTCCCACGTCTTTCGAGCACGCTGGAAAACCTGCCGAAAATCGTACGATTTTCGGCAGGCTGGTACCATGGTCAGAAGACAAATGCCGCATTTTTGCAGTGCAAGCCCGCTCTGCACTGAAAAAAATCGCAAGCCCTCCCCTCAGTGGGAGGGCTTGCGATGATCACAAGTACGATGATCACAAGTACGAAATTTTAATGACCTTACAACCATCGCATAACAAAAGTCGTTTTCATGTATTTGCAGGGAGGAGGCTGTGAGCAGGATCGATCGCTGGTTATCTGGGGGTGATTAGTGAGGTCACTAGTCACCCCCAGATAACCAGGGATCGATCCATCCTTTCTTTCGGCCGGAGCTCAGAACTGCTCTGCTCCGACACAGATGTAGACCATGGAGCTGCTACCGCAAGTCAGGTACGCGGTCTGCGACCGTGTGCCTGACATGTCAGCTGGCTGCGGGCCACATAGTACCGGCTCGCGGGCCGGAGTTGGCCTGCAGACCGGTACTTGGAGCCAAATGCGAGCAGGCGAGTGGAAATTTTAAGCCCTGCTCTAAACTACCCTGTTTCCCCGAAAATAAGACCTACCCCGAAAATAAAACCTAGTGCTATTTTTGGGAATTGCTGAAATATAAAACCTACCCTGAAAATAAGACCTAGTTGTGACCATTCCCAGGGACGGTGGTGGCATAAGGGGGAACTTGAAGAGCTGCGGGAGAGAATCAGCGGTGCCAACGAAGCCAGCGCTAAAGGAAGCAAGGCGGCACCGGAGGGAGCAGAGCCGCATAAGCCGATGCTTCCTCTATAGCGCCGCCTCCTGTCACAGGCAGAGTGATACCCAATGCACTCCGCCTGTGAGGAATCGATAGTGATTGGTTAGCAAATTGCTCTTGGAAAGGTACGGCACCCCTGATTACCATATTTTTGTACATGAATACATGTAGACTTTTCTACATGAATAAGTGAAGATTGTTGTACATTAAAAAAATAAAATAAGACCTAGTGTGTTTGAGCCAAAAAAAAAAAATATAAGACAGTCTTATTTTCAGGGAATCACTATCACTTTCTATCTAGGAGGGTTTTGGGGCCAGAGTATCAAAAAAGGGTCACAAGTCAAATTATGTTAGATTTGTACATAATTTTCTCAAATCACCAAAGCTAAAATTCCAGCGTGTTTTAAGAGATTTTAAACAGATTAAGCTGTTAATGAATGCTACCTGAAATCAGTCCTGTGGTGGCTGGCATCCCATGCATCCAGCTTGAAGGTAATGCTAAAGATGGCCATACACCTGCTGATTATCGTACGAAAAACGCGGGAAATTACGCGATCGTACCATAATCGGCAGGTGTATGGAAGGCGTGCGACCGTTTCTACTGTACGGTCGCACGTCTGGCCATACGCTTTACAACCATCGCACGTCTTTCGACGGTTGTAAGCTAATTTAAAGCTCGTACGATCTGCCCATCTTGGACAGGCAGATCGTACTTGGGTTCATGGCAAGCCCGCCCCGCTGAGGGGAGGGCTTCTGATGACTGCAATGCCGAGTGGGTAGTGCGTGCTTGCACACACCGGCCCGTGCGCCATTTGCCACAAACCCGCCGAAAATCTTACGATTTTCGGCTGGTTTTCCAACATGCTCGTAAGACAAAAGTCTTCCATACACCTGCCGATTATCCTACGATCGCGGGATTTGCTGCAATTATTGTACGATAATCGGCACGTGTATGGCCACCTTTATTCGAAAGTCGTGCGATGGTTGTAAAGTGTATGGCCAGCTTTATTCTGGGACAGTCTATACCTCTACAGGGACAAGAGGTACATAAGACATTCATTGGACAAGTCCTGCCGTTCTATAAAGATAACCAGAACTGCCAAATGTGCATTGCATGAATAGGGTTGAATGGCCACCAATTCCAAACCACAGCACTAGAATCCTAAACAAGAAGATATTCTGTTATGATGAGCTCAGCTTGTCCAAATCAATGGCCACAATAACAGTGAAGAGCAACACCAGACATAATATAATACGAACGTTGCTCAAAACGCTGGAGAGTTTTGATCTGTAATCAGGGGGAGCAGACCGTGCCCACTGCACCAAAATGGCTTTAACAAGCATTTCCAGATCTAGCCTTTAAAAGGAGAGCTATGAGATGAGTGATTTCCACTCACCTCATAGTTCTAGCCGACCTGTGACAATGAGACTGTCACAGGTCGGCTCAGTAGATCGGGAGGTGAGCGAACACATACCGGGTTCGCTCACATCTCGATCCTGTCACGGCTCTCTGCCGTGACAGGGGGAGGGGCTGGATTCCCCTCTCCCCGCGCTGACTGGCGGAACGGACGGGGGAGGGGGCAGGTACCCGGGATCCGCTCCGGCGTCTCAGTATACCGCAAGCTGTAGCTCGCGGTATACTGAGCCTAGGGTAACGGGAGGACGCTAGTTTGTGTCCTCCCGTTACCCGGAGAACTATGGGGAAAAATACTGACCCCATAGTTCTCCTCTAAGGCACCAGTCACGCTTAGGCAGTCTGTAGTGGTACAAAGCATTTCTTACAGAATCTGCACTAACATAGGCAAATCCAGCTTCAGCAAAGAATCTACTACACAAAAAGGAGAGAAAAAGTCTGCCCTCATTGTATGAATATGCACACTCAGGCCCAAAGGAAACCACAAGGATCAGCTGGCACTAGGACATGGTCAATACACACAAAATGAAGCGTTGTATATTTTTGGTTTAAAATCATAATCCACAAAAGCAAAAAAGTCAACGTAAAAATTAAACAAAATCTAAAAGAACGATCAGCAAAACGATACTGCACAAGACACATACACAGGCAATATTGAAAACTGCCCCAAAAATGTAAGTATTAATGACCAGCGCTACCAACGCACTGTACAAGGAACAAATATGATCGAGAAATTTATTGCTTTATGTGTGCACTATGTAAAAGTACTTGCATATAAGAAATAAGCTAGACTACCAATACTTCAGAAAATAGCATGAAGCCTGAAAATGGCCATAAAATAAACATGGATAATAGTACTATAGGAACAATGCTACCGGGTTATGCCAGATAACGTACTCAATGTCAGCATGTTTGGGAAGAACACATTCTACTCACATCAACACTTTCCTCCACTTCAATGCCACCATCATTGTCATCATCCATTTGTTTGTGAATTGTTCGGATTGCTTCAAAACTAAAACGGTCCTCTTCCGTAAGACATGGTGGACTCAAAGAAATTAAAGGATCTGGGGAAACATAACGAAAACAATGTTGTTTATAGACGTCATTATCAAATGCTGCAGATATAATTTTACAGTACGATACACAAGCAAAATCAACAACGTTCCCGCACTCCCCTATCGTAATGGATAGCAATTTTGATTTTTCTTTCAATGAAGTCACAGACCTAACAGCATGCAGCAATTTTCTATGAGTCTATGCTACTCTGATGGCTGACAGCTAACCTGTCAGCCATTTTTAATCTTTCAATAGTGAAGAGGTTCCTTAGAGCAGGCACCAAGTGGGTTCTTGGCATTGCTTTGTTAGCCAGAAAAACATTAAACTATTGTTTTTATGACACTTGGCACACATGTGATCCACACTCGATGTGCACCAAATCATCAAACACGCAGTTCACCTATGTTGAAGATGGTTTGCGACATGTGTGCCAAATCCTGAAAATATTGTGTGTGTCCCATCGTGTTGGGTGCAGTAGTGACAAGTGGTTGGCGCCGCATTCAAGAAAAATCAGATCGGAAAGTCACCGGCAACCCAATAGTGATGCAAGCACGTCTTTTATTGACAGATCAATAAAATATGTATGATTATGTGGATACATGTCAATGAAAGACGTGCTTGCATCACTAGTGAAGTCCCGCTGACTTCCAAATCCTGGAAAGACGCAAACTGCAATTTGTGCCAGCAATGACAACTTCTGTGCCCTTTAAAATCGGAGCTACAATATAGCAGATGTACAGATGGAACATAGAGTAGCATACTCCCAGTACAGGAAGCCAGTTTTCACAGGTTCATAGTTTATGCATTTCTCTGTTATACACCATCCCCTAGAATGATTATGGACTACATCCTCAATCAGTTTAGGGGGGAGGGGAGAATTTTAATAATTTTGTAACTGCTTAGAACTCTCCTTCAAAATGCAAAAACCACTAGAATAAGGTTTCATGTCATGTATCGAATATCTGCTTGCACAAATTGGAGTCAAGTCAAAAGTAATTTGCAAACAGGAACAACAAGGCTGTCCTAGACATGCCACAAAGAGAATGAAATGATCCAGAAACATCTCTGGTTACTGCCATCCTGCAAAACCGGAGTACAATCAAGCCATTCACAAAGCACCAAACTGTGTGAGGGGAGAAAAAAGGTACCAAAAGAACATTATGCAAGGGCTCATTCAGACCCAAACACATTAAGTAATGCGCATTGGTTCTGAAGAAGCCCAATGAATGGAATCAGACTTACCAACACACATAAAAATAAAGCAGAACAGCAGCTGGAAGCCAAATAGAAAACAATGCGTGCATTTCCATTAATCCCTAGTGTGACCAAGTCCTAAATCTGTAACTGAATGGCCAATATATCAAACATATTAAACCATACCCAACATTTATGGCAAATGAAAAGGGGATTCTGGGGAGTCTGATTGCTCCCGTGGGCCATTAATGACCAAAAAGGTTTCACAAGCAAAGCAAAAAAAAAAAAGTGGAATCAAACAGCAAGTACAAGATAAAAAGGTTTTCATGTAGTTCAGGCAATGGGATGCATTAAAACCCAAATTGCAGCCTTTTACTTTAATAATGTAATGCAGTCATGCTGCATATTAGGGCTGCAACAACTAATCGACATAATCGATTATTGAAAAAGTTGTCAACTTTTTCAATAATCGATTAATCGGCTTCCGATCAGTTGGCCCTGTTCACGGCTCCACACACGCTGCGCGCCGCACCTCCTCCCCACCTCACGCTCGCCGCTGCCAGACCCGCCCGCATCCACGCTCCACACGCCGCACCTCCTCCCCGCCTCACACTCACCGCCCGCCCACATCCACGATCGGCACAGGGACGCGGGGAGATGTAGTAAGGAGGAGCAGGTGTGGGGGGATGACAGCCGCTGATAGACAGGTCCGATCTCAGAAGCAAGTTGCTGGAAGACTGCTCAGGTAAGCCTGCACTTTCCCACACATGGTGCTCTATAATGTATTGCTGGGATTTGTATTCCTCTATAGCTGATGGTACATTGTGCTGTATATTATACATAGGAATACAAATCCCAGCAATACATTATACACTGTATGTATAATGTATTGCTGGGATTTGTTGTACTCCTCTATAGCTGGTGATATTCTGCATTGCGCTGTATAGAGGACTACAAGTCCCAGCAATAATACATTATACAGCGCAATGCAGAATACCACCAGCTATAGAGGACTACAACAAATCCCAGCAATAGTACATTATAAAGTGGTACAATGCTAAATACCACCAGCTATAGAGGACTACAAAACCCAGCAATAGTACATTATACAGCGCAATGCAGAATACCGCCAGCTATAATGTACTATTGCTGGGATTTGTTGTATTCCTCTATAGCTGGTGGTATTCTGCATTGTGCTGTATAATGTACTATTGCTGGGTTTTGTAGTCCTCTATAGCCGGTGCCATTCTGCATTCATTGCTGTATAATTTTACACTTTCCATTTCACTATATTGCACACCACACTATCTTTTTTTTTTTTTTTACTTCCACCGCTCCAAGCTTGCTCCTGTGATGGACTACAACCTCAATACAAACTAGTAGTCCCATCACTGGAGCCTTTTTTTTAACTCTATTTTATGGTTTATCCGATTAATCGAACCTAATAAATCGACTAACTAATCGATTTTGAAAATAATCGTTAGCTGCAGCTCTACTGCATATATAGTATTATAGTATAGTAAATATTCTTTTGTAGCAACTAAAATACCTGTGATGCCAGCACACAGAAGAAGTGGACCAGACGCCCAGATCTCCTGCAGTTCTACAAACCCCACTGACCACTGCAATGGTTAGGGGTGAGAATCAGAGAATTGGGCTGACAGCAGCAGACTTCTAGTGCTACCAGCACATAGGGTTTAATTTGTGGGAGATGCAACAGCATACGGACTGTGTTGCTGACTCAGTGTTACATCTAAAACACTTAACCAACAGGTTATGGGCCCAGAAACTAAACAGAATACCGCTAGTCAACAAGTGCTGCATCGTTCAAACCTAAAGAGTAAACTATATCTGCTATGCAAGCTATATAAGATGAGGCTATACAAAAAGGCCAGGAAATGTGACTGCCATGCCGCAAATCATAGAAAAGATACGTGTAATTGGAGAGGAAGATAACACATAGAAGCATACAGTGTCATAAAGTACTCCTATTAACGCCCTAGAAACCAGACCCGAGCAGGAACTAACACTAGAATACTCCAAAAGGAAAATTAAATCAATGAATATGGCCGAAGGAAAGAAAAAATGCACAATGAAAAAAATGAGAAAGCCTTTATGGTGCATGAGAGTGCAAAGCAAAACAAAGAAAGCAGAGCGTGCTTTTGCTGTAAAAAGACTGGTCACCTAAAAAAGGACAGTTCAATATGGAAACCCAAACAGAGAAAGCGAGAGGCACCTACAAGAAAAAGATCTAAGGCAGCCACAATGGAAACTGCAGGCACATCATGGAGTGCTACCTTTAAAGTGACTCAGAACAGTATACCACACGGATGGTGTATTGACTCAGGCGCAACAAGTCACATGACTTGTGACGAAACCGTCACAGAAACTGATTTCAGTGCAAAAGACAAAGTCTTCCTAGCAAATGGGAAAAGTATTACTGCAGAAGGCAACAGTCCAGGATTCTTGAACTGTATCACACCGTCAGGGGACAAGCAAAATATCCTTGTGAAAAATGTAGTGCATGTCGCAGACCTAGAAGGAAGCCTTCTATCAGTGAAAACCCTTTCTAATAATGGTCTCACAGTTCAATTCCGAGGTGGTGAATGTACAATCAGAAACAATAAGCAAAAACTAGATTAACAGCTGTATAGACTCATCTCAGCAGACAAACAAGTCAAGACACTCATAATCCACACAACAAATGTATCCATCTCTGGCACAGACGACTAGGGCACTGAAAACCAAAAGCCATAAAAGACATTATAAAGAGAGGCTTATCAGAAGATATAACCGTACTGCCCTGCCAAATGCTCATGACATGCAAATGTTTTCTGGAAGCAAAGGCCACATGTACCTCACTTCCACAAACAAGAGTTTGTAGCCATGTCCAGCAACAAATCCCAACAGAAACCTGGAATTATACGCACCGACAACGGAGGGGAATACATCAGTAAGGAAGTGGAATCATATCTGAACAAGGTATAGTACACCAGACAACTACACCATACACTCCTGAACAAAATGGTGTAGCGGAACGGAAAAGTCACACTCCTGTAGAAATGGCCAGATGCATGCTGTCAAATGCCAACCTACCTAAGAATTATTGGGGAGAAGCAGTCATGACTGCAACATACCTACAGAAGAGACTACCTTCAAAAGCTGTTGAAAGCACCCCACTTGAAATGTGGTATGGATCGAAGCCTAGCCTAGGGCAGATCAGACTGTTTGGATGTAAAGCTTACGCCTATATTCCAAAAGGAGAAGCAATCCAAGTTGGAGAACACAGCAATAGAAGGTATTCTGATGGGCTATAGTGAAGTAAGGAATATAGAATCCTCCACCCAAAGACTGACAAAGTGACAATAAGTCCCAGCGTTTATTTTAATGAGACTCCATTACCAGAAACGATGATCCCTGGAAGTTGTGTAGTGGATTTGCACAGTGAACCAGCAAAGAAAGCTGAGCAAAGTGAAGCCGCACAGGAGTCAGCACAAAGGTGAAACTCACAATGGATAAGTCAAAGTCCATGTTAAATCCTACTGAACAACCTGAAATTAGAAGATCCACTCGGGCAACAAAGGGAATACCCCCTGCAAGCTGTCATATACTGTTAAGACAATCAGAAAGGGACAACCCTAGAACCCAGCACATCGACGTAAAGTATCACCAGCTAAGGGACACTCAAGAGCAAGCTATTACTGACATTCAATATTGCTCATCAGTGCTCATCAGAAGAAATGGCTGCAGATGCACTCTGCAAGCCATTGCCAAAGGATCATCACAGTTACCTTCGAGAGAAGCTAGATGTCCTATAGCAACGCATATGCTGTTGAGAAGGGGTGTTGGAGATGCAACAGCATACTGATTGTGTTGCTGACTAACTATGTCTTTTGAGCACTAGATGGCACTGTAGTGCAAGTCTAGTCAATGCTAGTTTTTCTATAGGCATGCTTCTATCTATGGTCTATATGTTTCCTGCATGATGCTGTATACACAGATGTAATAATGTACTTATAAGAAAGTAAAACTTAATTCAGCATTCTTCAAGATCTCAGTGCTTCATCTAAGCACATAACCAAAATTATTAACCCATACTGCAGCACTTAGCAAATAAAAGGAAAGAGGCATATTCATTACTGTATACAAAGCTTGACCGCATTACAAATGGAAGAGTAAGTAAAGCATAGAAAAAAAACAGTGAACTTTCAATTAGTAAGGGGTTTGGTCATATAGTGAACTTGAGCCAAATTATTAAATTAAATCTATGTAAATTTGGTATAAAAAGGATAAAGAAAACAGAAGACCCGATACATTAGGACATGGGTTGATGGGCTTTGGACTTCTGACTGGCCACCTTCTGACCTGCATTTCACCTGCTTCATGCAGGTTTTGTATTCCTATAGATTTGTATGGGAGATGCAAAACCAGGGTATGGGAGATGCAAAGTCAAACGCACGCTCATTAACACAGGCCCTCAGCATCCTAACGTCCCATACACTGTATAGAATGTAATGACTCACAGGACCTTAGACCGCTGGAGCAGAGGGGGGAAGTGCAGCTGAAGGGACCGGTTCTGCAGCAAGCTGGGACAGAGGTTCGGGTGAGTATAGCGGATATTTTATCTCCCTAGATAATATCAGCACTTAACCCCATGCAGTGCGGGGGGAGGTATCCCCCCCACTGAAAGGGTTAATATATTATTTGCCCGGAGTTTTTATTTAACTGAACAGGCTGAGCATAGAAGCTGGCTGGTTACTATGTACAGATGCTCCAGGGGCTCCAGAGGCTGTCCGCTCCAGTTTTAGTACCTTCCCCCATCATACAGTATATGTCATTTTTTATTTTGCCCAGATGACTAAAACTCCAATTACTGAAATTAGAATGTGTACTACATTCTGGAGCCACTACATAAGATCTAACCACTGGAAACCATTACCAATACAAAAAAATGATGAATTTGTCCTTCTAATGTATTACAATTTTGCATACATTGTAAGAAAAACTAGATACTTTGTGTGAAAAGGGAAATCATTTTGGTGACATAGCAATCATCAAACAAGACGCCCTCTAGACTCACATGGCAAGCCATTCCTATCATTCAGACACCATTAACTATCCACATTTATGGGCAGTGGAAGCATCCATTTAATGGGCACAGTTGCTGAATTTTAAAGATAAATGACAAGCATGCGGGTAAACATCTGTATGGAAGGCTGGAAACCTGTTTAACAGATCATGAGTCACCCTGACATCATCAATATCCCAGAGCTATGGTGAGGGTGACGGCATTAAATCATTAAACTAATCCCCATGAAACAAGACAAGGCATTATTGGATGAAAGTTGCTGAGCATTCAGGGAACCTGAAAAACAAATAAAAAGGTCCTTTAAAGAGGAACTCCAGTGATTTAAAACGTGAACCGTTGCAGTGGGACTACTCCTGCACTGCGAGAGTTAACTGCTCGTTTTGTTCTAGGGGCTGGAATACAGAAGATATACTCACCTGATCCTTGGTCATGCAGCAGTGGGTGCTCACCTCTGTCCCCCTCCTCTGCGGCCGTATTTCCCTTGGCGCCCTCACGTCTAATGCAGGTGAATGAACCTGCATTAGATGTGGTGATATAAAGCGGGGGGCTAGACTTAGTATGCGCGCACGTGCGTTAGGACTGCAACAACTAATCGATAAGAATTGTTGTCAACGATTCCCATTATCGATTAGTTTATTTTAGATTGATTGAGCTCACAGCTGAGGAAGAAGCACTGGGCGTCCTAGCCAGCTATAACCAACGTACTGTGTTTATGAAAAAATATATAAGACAGTGTCTTACTTTCGGGGAAACACGGTAGTGGGGTTTTCTCAAGTGTGAATGCAAAAGTGGAAATGTACTTTAAAAAGCGCTTTCAATGCTTCCTCAGAAAGTAATACTTTCATGTGCAGTCTGAGCCACAGGTTCTCCTTAAAGTGACATTAAACCCTCAGATTTTTTAACATAAAATACTGTAATGTGCGCCTTACTGTAATCCATGGTTGTTTCCCTTCTCTTTGCTGCTCTTCCTTTTAAATCCTCATGTCTTCTCATGCTGGGGGAGAACCTACATTTGCAGCTGAGTGCCTCCTCCTGTAGTGCTGGCTCAGGTTGTGAACCTTCACACAGACACCATGTATCCATTTCAGAAACAAGGCAGTCTGCTGCAAAACAGAAGTTCTGCCCCAGCATGAGAAGAGAGACTGATTTAAAAGAGCAGCAAAGAGAATGGAAACTACCATGGATTACAGTAAGGTACACATTACAGTATTGGTTTATGTTAAAACATCTGAGGGTTTAATGTCACTTAAAGGCTTATGTCAACTGTAGCATCATCTTGTCAAGCTTGCTCAAAAGATTACACCCCGTACCCCGATCTAGTGCTGTGGAGCTTGCGGTATCACACAGACATCCAAACTGCTATTTGCCAGATGAGGGAAGTGGTTGTCACTAGGGCAGGAAGTCACAGCTTGTAGTAACCTGGCAAAGATTCTAATTTTACATTCAAAAGACTTCCTCCTCTTTTTGCATGCACAAATTCGTTTTACATGAAGGTAAAACTAGATATGAATAAACAGGAAAAGTGGCTTATTCTATAAGTGAAAAGAGCAAAAACACAAAGGTTCAGCAGAGCTGCAAAGATTGAAGCGTATATAAACTCTAAACCTATTTCTCTGTATTTGTTACATCATGCCTCACAGTACAATGTTTTCTTCAGCACAATGTTGTTTTAATATTCTCTGCCTTGCTGCACTGGGAGTCCCCAGTTCAAATCTGAGGAAACTATGTGCATGGGGTTTGCATGTTATCGTTGTGCTCACGTGGGTTTCCTCTGGGTCCCCCCAACCTCCAAAAGACATACTGGTGGGTTAAGGCCTGGTTCACACTGAGCGTTTTGCAGCGCTTTTTCGGCCCAAAAAAACAAAAATGGGAAAAAACCGCTGTCGCCTAACTGGTTCTAGTAATTGTATGTGCAAAACGAACCATGGATTGTAAACTCCTTGAGGACAGGCACTGGTGTGAGTGTACACTATGTAATAAAAACAAAAGACAGGAGGCTGCCCATAAGCTACTGCCCTGCAACTTACTAAGCATTGTCAGCCTGTGGTGCAAGCTACCTCCATTGGCCACTGAGCAGCCTAATAGTCCCCATAGCCAGCCCAAGGGCCAACTGATAAGACATTCAAGGGGGCAACAAAAACTTCTTGTGCCTATTCTATACTAATGAGAAACGGAAGAGAAAAAAAAAAAACTAAAGCAGGGGCCCAATCTACCCGTCCCATATGACAATCTACTTTTCCGTATTTAACCACGCTAAGAGGTGCATCTTATTGGTCAGCTGACCGTGCTGAACAAGGAGTGCTCACAATTTGAGAGCGAAATGTAAAACCCATAGTGCAGGGCTGCGCTGGACGGCAGTGCAGGGTACAAATTGTACACACTAACCAGCGGAGGGGAAGGACGGTTCCCCAAAAGGCAAGTATAGTAGGTGGAGAGAGGGAGCCAGATAAGCGGGGGGAGCTCTCCCAGAAGAGCAGGGGACCCTGAAAACTATGGCGGAGACAAGCAGGCTGTTACAAGTGACTTGGGCAGCTGTACAGCCACCGAGATTATTTGTACAAAACGAGCGGCAGCTCCACCCTGCTCGCCTGCAGCAGGGCTAAATGTAGAGAGAGAAAAAAAACACCTACCCGGCACCCGGAACTACATGTCCCAGGCATCGGGCGATAGGCATCACGCACCTGTCATCCCTCCTATACTCCGGCTTGTGGATTGTCCTTTGGTGTTCTTACAATTCTGGGTTATAGGCCTTGCATTTGAGTAATGGGGTTCCAGCCTTGAACTTGTGGGAGTGGGGATAAGGTAAGTAAAAGACCATTACACAATACTCCCAGACATAAATGACCAGTGCAGAGCTGGTACCACTATAATAGTAGTTCCTTCCCCAGGAGCTAGACTTTAAAAGGGCATATGCATAATACATTGTATCGTTCACCTACTTTTATAGGCAGTAGCTATGGTAATGAAGTATCCATCTGTTTTTTTTTTGTTTTAAGAGCAGGATACGTGTGTATTTTTTTTTTTTAATGTGTCCCCAACTAGATTTCATGTTTCACCAAAGCAAAAGCATATACTTGGTTTAAAAAGTTAATGACACAATTTAAACTTGGCCATGAGGTAGACCCTAAACAATAGGATTTCCTCACTTGTATTCATCCGGCAGCCAAGTTCCTGTATCCCAACAGGAACTTCTTCACTTGGCAACCACCAGGAAATGGACCGAGCATCTATTATAATGGAGCCACGTTAATGATTTTATAGGTGTGTTTTCCCAAAGTGAAATGCCAGATGACCTGGTTCTTTTAGCAGTTTTGTTTGGGATTTGAGACGTCTTTAGGGGGGAAAGCACAAAACGTACTGATACTATTCCAAACAGAACATTTTATTCAAGATAAAACGAGAAAATAAATCCAAGAAATAACCAAAGCAATTTTCAACCAAAAATCACCCAGAATGTGTTCTAGATTTCTCCACATGTAAAACATATGTAGTGTATTTTCACACTTAGCCAAGTGCTAACAGATTATTAAACACAAAGCACAGTATTCTATCATAAAGATAAGGGTTGAAACTAGAAATGTAGGTGATGCCCATTACAAACAAACAACCTCCTTTAGCTCTGCCAACAACAATGCACTGGAAGGACCTGCCGCATTGTATGCAAGTTGAATGGACTGTTTAGGTAGGCCCTTGTAATACACATGGAGAGAGATATCCAAGGTACCCCCATAGTATCCAACCTATAAATACAAGGAAAGTCCTTTACAATGAATCCTTGGCATGGGTGAATATTGTCAGGAGAGAAGCAGAGTAACACCAGCTGTTACATTGAACATTGGCATACGCAGCACTGTGGCCTGTGTTTCTATTGTTTGTGTGGATCAGGGAGATGAGCCCCTACAATTGGCACAGCACCCACTGCTAGCTGGACTGGTACCTTTGGATTTCTTTAGCTTAAGTGTGGGAGATGTTTTCAACAGCGGTACGGGACCCTGGTCAGCGTGATACAACCTCTTAAGCAATGGTTATCATGGGGCGAGCACATGGAAAGCAATTAAAAAATTGCTTGCTGGCAAATTCTGAAAACTCCAAAGATTAAGGCTGGGTTCACACCTGAGCGTATTTTTTCAGCTCCTTTTTTAGCACGTTTTTCCGTTCAGTGAAACGCGCGTTTCACTGGCGGCATGGTTTTTTTTTTTCTTTCCTTATTTTCTCCATTTAAAAAAAAAAAATTACTTTCAAACTTCCCGCCGGCTCCGCCCCCCTGCAACGCAGCCGCTCGCAAGGGACAGAACCCGGGAAGTCGGCAGCCGCTGGAGGGCACAGCGGGGATCGCGGACAAGGTAAGACCTGTACGCTGTATTCCAGAATGTGGCTCGGGGCTACCGCTTTGTTAACCCCAATTCACACTCGGGAATACCAATGGAAACGCGCGGAAAAACGCCCCAAAGAAGCTCCTGTACTTCTTTGGGCGTATGGTGTTTTTCAGCGCGTTCCTACGCACTGAAATACGCCCAGGTGGGAACTATGCCAATAGGCAATTATTGGTTTTCACATGTTGAGCGTTTTACAGCACGTAGGAACGCGCTGTAAAACGCCCAGGTGTGAACCATGCCTTAGAAAACACATTTTCTGGTAATTTTATTTCTATACTCACAAAAGTACACTTACCCATTTGTTGCAATACCCAGTGAAAATACAGAGCCATTAAAAATCAGGAGAGATGCAACAAAGGAAACAATTAGGGATGTTCACATACCAAGTACTGTACTCAGTACAAGCACAGATACTTTTCCAGCTCCAAGACTAGATTAGAGCAAAATTCAAAAGTTAGGAGGCAGCTGTCATTTGTAAGGAGCACACGGAGCTCCTGGGATTTGTGAATTCC